GTACAGCTCTGGTTGCAGTTACCCTACATAAGGCTGGATCTAAATTCTAGAGGAGCCCCTTGTTTGACCGAAGGGCAACTGCAACCAGAAATGCACAAATGTCTGACTGGAAACGTCCTAACCTGACCTGAGCACAAAGAACTGCTAGAAAGAGTATTATATGCCCCAAAAGTAACACACAAGGGAAAGGCAGGGGAGGAAATGAGGGAGGGGATGAAAGGAGGGAACGGAGAGGAGAGAATCCCATGCACGACAGGCTGGCTCCCTTGAACGACTCGGAGGATCCCAAGAACCCAGATCTCCCTCCACCAGCTGCTGCGTCCTCTCCCTATTATTGGTTGGCGAAGCACACACCTCTGCTGCCAAAACATAACATCTTCTTTGTAAGCCCTCCTCTGCAACCCCATGGCACATCCCATGTGTATGCAACCGGGTGGGGTGGGCTTATGCCACCCAGCTACTTATTCTTGCCCCAACAGACGTATCCAATCTATCGCCCAAACTGCTGCCTTACGGCCATCATGCTGAAAGCGCCCCAGCATCAGCAGCTCTGAATGTCATGCTGCCACCAGCACAGCATGCTACTGACTTTGCCCCGACCAGGCCCACTCCTCGGCCGTGTGTTGGAAACCCTAAGCGCAAATCGCTTGGCCTGTGACGCTGCTCACCTGCTGCTTGCCTGATCCAGATCGGCCCTCTGATCTCTCCACGCCAGATAGATGCTTGCCATTCGCGGCTGAACCCCCACTACAGCTCCTGGTAGCCCGAAGATGCTGGAAGACGCCGGGGGAACCGAATCACGAAACGCACACGCACTCACTACCGGCTTCACGCGGCCATTAGGGTTTGGACGGGCCCGCTTCCAGCGCCTGGCGCTTCTCCGCGCGCATGGCGGCGATGGCCTGCCGGACGGCCGCCTCGATGCTGGCGGGCTCCGCCATGGCGCCCGTGCCCACGTCCCCGCACGCCAGGCGCTTGCTCACCGGCGACACCAGCTCCGCGCCCAGCCCCTCCAGGATCGCCACGTGGCGAGCCGTGAATGGCGACGTCCACATGTGCGTGTTCATGGCGGGCGCGAGCAGCAGCGGCTTGCCGAAGTCCCACGCGCGCACGATGGACGTCAGCAGGTTGTCGCAGATTCCGCTCGCCACCTGACACCGTGCATGCCACGGGGAGTGGGGGGACGAAAGGGAGGAGACGGAAGGGCGGGGGGTGGTGGGAAGGGTGCGAGAGGCGGGAAAATGGGTGGAGAATCAGGCGGCAAAAAGGGGGGAATCGGAGGATGGGGGACTGCGAGGGAATGGGGAGTTGTGAGGAACTGAGGGCGAAATGTTGGGAAACGGCAGGCTTGGATCAAAGCCGCAAGCTGCCTTGTAGCATGCGACAATTCGCGTGCTTGGATCGCTCGTCGCATGTCACGAAGAACCACTTGGTGACGTTAGATCGCGCGGTCAGGCGAGGCGGGTCACCTTAGCGAGAGTGTTGGCGGAGAGCGGCGCGATGACCATGACGTCAGCCCACTTGCGCAGCTCGATATGCAGCACCGAGTCGCCCAGGCGGTTCCACTGCCGCCACTCGTCCTCGTCCGTGAAAAGCGGCATCTCCACTGGCAGCGCGGGCCGATCGAGAAAGTGCAGCGCGGACCGCGTGCTCACGGCGCGCACCTCCGCCCACTCCACGAGCCCGCGCGCCACGATGTGGAACTTGATCGCCGCCACGCTCCCGCTCGCCGCCAGCAGCACGCGCGGGCGCCGCCCCAGCGCCTGCTGGAGCGGGGAGATGCCCCGCGTGGGGCGCGGAACGGCGGGCGCGTGACTGCCTTCGGGGGGGCTTCCGCTCTCCTGCTGCGGAGGGACAGGCGGAGGCTCTGGCTGCGGGGAGCTTTGCTGCGCGGAGACAGCCGGAGGGGGCTGCATGGTGGGAATTGAGACAGCCGCAGCGCCTACTGAAGAGTCCGGAAGCGGGTGATCCCCTTGGGAGAATTGCTGCGGCCGAGTCGAGTAATATCCTGGCGGTCTAATCGGAAGCATGTTAAGTCGTGGATCCGAGAAAATTAGTGCTTTTCGACCTCACATAAAAGCGTGGATTCGCGTTCGCCGTATAATTGAACACATCTTCCAATTGGCCATGGGAGGATGCACGGCTTATCAAGTTGTTGAATTCCGCATCTGGACTCGATCCTTATACATAGGGAGGGCCAGCTCCAGCAAATGCCAGGAAAAAATAGGACGACCCTAAAAGCGAAACTTGGACAGCGCAAAAGGACGATTCGACGGATGAAACGTGGGTTGCAGAAAGCAAGAAGAGACACGAGAAGCCATGTGTGCAGTTCAATGGAGGAAGTTTTGCATTTGCTTTGCACATGTTGTAGGTTGTGGAAGTACCAGTATGTGAGATTGGAAGAGTGAGGTTGGCGGGGAGGGGTTTCGCAACTCAAGTTTGTCATGTCCGTGAACTGTGAATCATGAATCGTGGGTCAGAATTGGTCGCCTGCGGAGCGGGTGGAGTGGAGATTCAGAAACACGAACCAGTCCAAATTCACAAAAACTAGGCGGTCGCCAGAAGAGCCTTTGATTGGTCCGGATCGGATGGGCAGGAAGGAAAATTCGGCGGTACAGTGGAAGGACGACGAATTTCGTTGTGACCGCCGAAACAAGTCTGTGGAATCTGGGTCACTTCGCGATGTGCGGAATGTTCGATTGGCCGACACTGCACGAGGACATCCAGCAAATCAGGCGGCGTATCTCGGAATGTGGTGAAGCTGCGAACTTCCTGGCGAACAAAAGGGCCCGCCAGACCGCATTCGCTCAAGCCGGTGACAAAAGCTAATCTACAGCAGACGACACTTTTGTGGGCCACACCACTGTAACAGTTGACATGCCGACGCCGCACCAGAATGTACAGTGCTACGCCCGCCCGGAATCAGGGCCTGAAATTGCTGCTGAGCAGTCCTTACAATGCGACGCTGGAACAGAGAAATCATGTGGATAAAGTGATTCCAGCTATACACGACAAGTATAAGGTGTCTAATCTTCGAAATCGGATACCTTTGTATACGGTGCGGATTTACAATCAACCATGCCTTTTGCTTTCAGACCATTTTCAGTTCCTCTGCGCCATAGCCTCCCCACACCACCATCCCTTCCTTTCGATGCTCCTCCTGGCGAACCCAGCTAATCGAATTTCGCTTGTTCGTCAGTGTCTTATTTTTTCGCAAAGCTTGTCATAGTCGGTTCATCCTAGGTGACGAGCCCGAGATTGTAGCATGTCCCTAGTTCGTCCATGACGCTCCAAACTCCTTCCTCGAGATCGCCTATTGCTTCGGTGCCTACACTTCACAGTGTGTCTCTGACGGTCATGAGCTGCGTTTTGCCGCTTGAGGATTCAGCGTGGTGGGTGCAAAAGAATAGGCCTCGGGGAGCTGAGTTGGTGGCCTAGGCAGCGCAGAGCAGTGCGTCTGCTACCCTATCAGGTTATTCCGAGTCTCTTCTCTTTCTGCTGTTTTAACGAGAAAATTTGCGTGTTTTTCGTGATGTTCCTCGTGTGTGTTCTCTTCGTGTGCGTGTTCGTGTGTGAGGTACTTAAGCAGCTTTTGCTCAACGGCGTCTTGAAGCTTGTCCTTGTTAACTTTTGAGTCGTTATGAAGCTTCTCGTCGTGCAGCGGTTGTTGGAGCGCCTCGGTGAGTACGAGGGACACGTGTTGAGAGAGCAGCTCTCTAGGCAGCGTTGCGCAGACCAGCGAGGGTCCAATTGATTGTTTGGCTTCTCTTGTCTCTTCCTGACAGTATATTCCGCATTTGCGAATGTTTGCGTGTGTGCATATGTGCGTGCGAGAAGCAAAGACGCACCGAGCCACGCTCCTTGGGCATCGTGAAGACTCAAGCTCGTCCGCTGATTCCAAGGGATGCCTCGCACATTTCCCTGTGCATCTTCTTGCACTCCAGTGCTTTCTGTTCCCTCGTCTCAGTAGAGCATTCCAATATCTTTATCTACTTCGGCTCATGACTACTTTCACTCTGCGCCATTCCCTCTTCACTCATCGTCATTCCGTGCAGTAAATCGTTTTTGGGCACCCAGGTGCCCCTCTCTGCCTACCATTTTTTTCCAATGCAGGTGCCTTTGCAATGATGGAGCCATGCAAATAAGCTTCATTGCACATAGTAGGTCGGAGATGTCATACTGAAGGGTGCGGAACATGGTAATGTTGCTGTTGGGGTGGTACGGCTTGGTTAGGGACGGTACAGTACGGTATGATTACAACGATTTAGTCCATCACCGTGAGCTATAACTGGTTCGCCTCCTAGCTTCCCATTGCTCCACCCAAGAAACATGTTTATCAGCCAACAACCTTCCTGTGCTGTGGGACCCCTTCCCACACTGAACTCAGTCATCTCATGCACGCACATCCAGATCCAAACAAAACAAGCACAATGCACTGCCAAGTTCATGCCTCAACTGTGGCTCATATGCATGCCTGCAATTTCCGAAGCCTCGATTGCACCTAATTCATACTTCTTCACGTGCTTCCCCCATTTATGCGTGCTCTGCATCCCCCCCTCCCCCCCCCCCCCCCCCCCCCCCTTGTGAAGGGCACTTGTTATGTTAACTTATGTGCATCCTTCTATGTAGTCTTCGTTAGCTGTTGCATCAAACCTGAGATCCCTTCAAAGAGTTCTCTCAGAGTAGGTATAGTTTGAATATTTATTTATGCAATTCGTAGTAACGTACGTGTTTCATTTCCACTCATTTTTGGTGAGCACTGGAGGAAGTCGGACAGGTTTGGCCATCACAGCAGGCCATTGGTCTTTCTAGAAGTTGTGGACGAGCCACATATCAAGCATTCCATCAAATCCATAACCGAGCGCGTCTGCCCCGCAAGGTCATGAAAGCTAACATTCCACGCACACCTAATCTGAGTCGTTCTTAGGCCATCAAGCAGCGCGCTACTTACCAGTCCCGCACGGCTCCCACCTAACCTTTCGTGAGCCGTGCTCGCGGCGATGGCGGACGGCAAGCAGTTTAACATGCGGAATCCGGCGGTGAAGCGGATTCTGCAGGAGGTGAAGGAGATGCAGCGGGAGGGCAGCAAGGAGTACACCAGCATGCCGCTCGAGGTGAGCTCTCCGTACACGCGTGCGTGCATGCGAGTGGTCTAATTGAGTGCCGAGAGCGCGTAGTGTGTAGGTAGTGACGGTACGGGAGTCGCAGTGTACTCTTTGAATCCCGCGGGTAGTGGCTATTTTAACTGACAGCGCGCGGTTCACCGCTTCCTCTTTGCGTGGTGATGCGCAGAGGGGGTATTGACCAAACCAAATCGCCTTGTCGTCACCCTAGCCTCATACTCTTTCCATCAGCAAGTCTTGCTGACCGTCCGTCTGACCCAGCGCGTAGCAGCGTCTGCCGTGTCACCTCGTATCGTATCTTTTGCTGCGAATCCAAACGCCGTGTGCCCCTGCGACTTGCGTTCACGGCACGTTGAGCGGACGAATTTCAGTGTCCCTGCAATTGATCGTCGCATTGATCGCACCCCACCCGGCAGGAGGACATATTCGAGTGGCAGTTCGCCATCCACGGCCCCAAGGACTCGGAGTTCGAAGGGGGGATCTACCACGGCCGCATCACGCTGCCCGCCGACTACCCCTTCAAGCCGCCCTCCTTCATGCTCCTCACCGTGAGTGCACCGCTCCCAGGGCCACGTGCCTGACAACTTACTGAATGTTGCTTTGGGACACCTCAGATATTGCCTGAAGATGCGATAGGTTTCCCTAGGCAAGGACGATAGGCACTCTGAAAGAGGGTAGCCACTCCCTGTTCCCCAGCTCCTTCAGCTCCCTCTGCCCTCTCCACTCTCTCTGCGTGTCGCCCACGGCAGCCCAGCGGGCGCTTTGAGGTGCACACGAAGATCTGTCTGAGCATCTCCAACCACCACCCCGAGCACTGGCAGCCCTCCTGGAGTGGTGAGCTGGACTGTGCCAATCTCACTTGCATTTCCACTCAATCCACAGAGATTATGCTGTGCCACGTGTGTGCATGCGCACATACATTCGTATGGATGGACTCTTCGTCTCCCCTCTTCCCCTTTTCTCTGTAATAGTTTACAATTTCGTTTCCCAACACCCGTTATCCTCCCCGGCAGTGCGCACGGCACTGGTGGCGCTGATAGCCTTCATGCCAACCAAGCCAGATGGCGCACTGGGCTCGCTGGATTACCCCAAGGACGAGCGCCGCAAGCTCGCAATCAAATCCCGACTCGCGCCGCCCAAATTTGGGAGCCCCGGGCGGCAACAAGTGATTGATCAGATTCACACAGCCATGCTGCAAACGGCACCACCTATCCCTGCTTCTTTGCAGTCTGCCTCCTCTCCTAGCCCTAATGCTCCAGACGCCCCTCAAGCCACACCTGCTGAATCTGCTCTTCCTCCTGCTGCTGAATCAGTGAGTGCCGGTGCTGCTGCTGATTCTGGTCCTTCTCCAGCTTCCCCCCTCGTGCTTCCCTCTTCCACCGACGCTTCGACCGAGCAGCCTTCTCTCAGCTCCCTGGTCCCTCTGCCAGCAGCAGCACAGCCAGGCGACACACCGTCCACATCCTCCACGCCTGCAGTAGCAGGTTCTTCCTCTGGCTCGGCTGGTGTAAATGAGACAGGGACGGGCCATGCTATATCTTCCGGTCCTGATTCCACAGGGGCCGGCTCTTCAGCTCCACTCCTGCAGGCATCCGTCCCTGCTGTTTTTTCGGAATCAGCTTCCGCTGGTCAAGCGGTGCCAGCAGGTGCAGCCGTGGATGCTGCAGCAATAGCAGGTGCATCCGTTGCTGCTGCTGAACACTCACTGACTGAGCCACTGCTACCACCATCACCACAAACTATGATAGAGCCCAGGAAACCAAGTGCAGCAGCAGCAGTAGGCCTTTCGGCCATGGAAGCAAGAGCAGGAACAGCAGGAGTAGTGGCAGAGCAATCACAGAATCAGGCGCAGGCAACACGGGCAGCAGAGGGTCGGGGACGAGTTGGAGGGGCAGCAGGAGAGGACAGAGTGTTGAACACCCTGGCAGCAGCAATAGTGGTTGCGATCGTGGCGTTGCTTCTGAGAAAGTTCTTACGGGTGTATTCGCCCTTGGATGAAACAAGCATGGAATGGTGATGTGTACATGTGCCAGTGGAGGCTGTGGGCTAATGCTTATACCAGAATTATTGCCAGTGAGAAGCTTGGGCAGTTTTTATCTGGTTCTGTCCTCAAAGGTGCTGCAGTCTTCAATCATTCCACAATGCTGCGTACTGAACTGCACTGGTTAGACGCGGCTGTATTGGTGCGTCATAGCTGGTAGCTTGCCAAATACAGCAGTTTATGTAACGAGGTTGCTGTTATAAGAACTAGTATCATTTGTAATGCTATATAAATCCCATGTCCTAGCTAGTGTTGATTTTACCTAACAACCCAGGCACCTGTCTCAAAGTTAGCGAACAACGGAATGATTGGAATAGAAACGAATGAGGTACAAATGAGCAACCCTAGAAGCTGTACCCCCTAGAGTGCAACTCACTATAGCCTATCATATCAATGTTCAACATTTGACACACCCCCATAGGCTAAGTGAGGGGCATCAAAGCAAGCAAGGTGAACAAACGGTCACAAGACCAGTCAAACCAAGAACCAAGGCAAGCTCAGGGTGGATCTCAAGGACACCACACAAATTCCGAGCGCAAGCAAGCGGCCACAAGGCCAGTTCAAGAGTTCACTAGGATATAAATACAAAGCACAACAAGCAGAGCAAGCAACAGGACTACACCAACCGAGGGCCTACCTCAACAAGCCCCAACTGCACACAGAACCTGTGGTGGTCACCAAGCGCCAAGGCCTTGGTGAAGACGTCTGCAGTGTTGGCCTCTGAGGCCACAAAGTCCAGGCGTGCCTGACCGCGTCGCTGCAGCTCTCGCAGGAGGAAGTACCTCACGTCAATATGCTTCACTCTGCTCTCCAGTCGAGGCTCTCGACACAGGAGGATCATGGCCTTGTTGTCAGCGTACAAGGTCGGTGCAGAGCGAGGCCGCTCACCAAGGTCAGCGAGCAAGAAGGTCAACCAGCGAAGCTCCTGTGCCGCCATGGCACCAGCGTAGATCTCTGCCTATGCACTGGAAGTAGCCACAGACGACGACCGTGTAGACCTCCACGACACAGCACCAGCTCCCAGACTGAAGCAGTAACCCTGAGTCGAACGCTGAGTCTCCACGTCGTCAGCGTAGGAAGAGTCGCAGTGACCAGTCAACGCCACTGGCTGAGTCCCTCCAAGCACAAGCCCCAAGCCTGATGTAGTCGCCAGGTACTTCGCCACCCTCACAGCAGCTGTCCAGTGGACAGGGCGGTGTCTCCCAGTCGCAACAAAGCGAGAAAGGATGCTGAGTGGAAAGGCGAGGTCCGGTCGAGTACAAGTCATCAGGTACATGAGGCAGCCCACCAGCTCTGCGTAGGGTCCACTGGACTCAAAGGGCTTGTCAGGAAAGGGGCCCGTGAGTCTGTGGTCAACAGCAAGAGGAATGGGCTGTGTGGTGGAGAACTGGAAGTGGAACCGCCGAAGGACCTGCTGCACCATGTGTGACTGCGTCAGTGTGATGGTGCGAGCGGCTCTGTCCCGGGTGATCTGCAGGCCAAGGTAGCGCTGCAGCTCACCCAGGTCAGTGCACTTGTGTCTCTTCTGCAGTTCGGACTTCACCTGAGCCAGGGCTGCCCTGTCTGCTGTAGCAAACACCAAGTTGTCGACGTAGACAAGGATAAAGAAAGGAGTAGAACCCGCTCGAACAAACAGCGACGGGTCGGCGGAGGACGGGCTGAACCCAAGGTCACAAAGCGTGGAGCGAAGAGTGTCGTGCCACTCACGGGGCGACTGGCGGAGACCGTAGACTGGTCGCCTCAGGCTCCACTGGGTCCCAGGTGGGAAGGTGTCAGTGAAGCCAGGAGGACGGCGCAGCCAGATCTCCTCGTGCAGTCGGCCCTGGAGGAACGCAGTGGAGAAGTCGAGGGAGTGCAGCTCGTAGTCTCGCTGCGCTGCTATGTGGAGTAACACCCGAAGAGTAGTCATCTTCGGGGTCGGGGCGAAGGTCTGGAAGAAGTCAACTCCCTCACGCTGACTGAAACCCCTAGCCACGTAGCGCGCCTTGAACACCGGCGGTGCTCCAGGCGGCCGCTTCACCTTGAAGAGCCACATGCCATCGACTACGTTCGCCCTGGGAGGGGGAAATGCGTCGACGTAGGTGCCTGTGGATCTCCAAGACGCCAACTCTGAGTCCATAGCCGCTTTCCACTGAGAGGCCCACGCCCCTGACACTGCCTCGCGGTAAGTGCGAGGAGTCGGTATGTCAAGGGCGTCGGGGTCTCCCTCAGGGGAGAGCAGCATGGCACACACAGAGGGAGAAGCGGCTGCCCAGTACTCCAGCTCAGGCTCTCTGTCCTCTAGGACGTCACAGCCAAGGGCAAACCCACCCCCGACGGACAGAGGACGGTAGGGAGGAGCTGGCACCACACGGGTGGCGTAGTCAAGGCGGCTGGCGGCAGCAAACTCAGCGATAGCGGCAGTGAGAGCCGAGACAGACGACGGAGGGAAACGAGGGTCGGTGACAAGAGTGGTGAGGACACGTGCGGCAACAGGACGAACAGCGCGGTAGTAGTCAGAGAAAGGAGTGGGGAGGGCAGGTAGAGAGGACGGAGGAGGAGACGGGAGAACGGACACAGGAGAAGGAGAACGACGACGAGACGAACAAAGGAGGGCAGTGTGGAGGTCAGTAACAGGGGACGAGTGACGAGCACACGGAGGACAACGAGTGATCAAGTCGCGACGGACAGAGGGAGGAGGAGACTGAGGAGGAGGAGAAGACCAGACCGCCGGACGGTCGTCAGGAGGAGGCAACGGAGGAACAAACACAGGAGGAGACTGGGAGCGGACAGGAGGAGAGGAGGAAAGGCCAAGGGCCCGCAAGCCACTCACAGGTGGGAACAACCGCCGCTCTAGAGGAAGCTGCGGTGGCGGCTGCGGCCGCTGCGGCTGCTGCTGCTGCTGCGGCTGTGGCTGCGGCTGCGGCTGCGGCTGCTGCTGTTGCTGCTGCTGCTGCTGCTGCTGCTGCTGCTGCTGCTGCTGCTGCTGCTGCTGCTGCTGCTGCTGCTGCTGCTGCTGCTGCTGCTGCTGCTGCTGCTGCTGCTGCTGCTGCCGCTGCTGCTCCAGAAGGTCCAGCACCCGCAGCTCCTGCCGCTCCCTCTCCAACCGCTCCTGCTCCTCACGCTCACGCCGACGGGCAGCCTGGAGACGCGTGTCGTGGCGGTGGGGGGGCGGGGTGGACTCCGCAGAACCAGGGTCTCCAGCGTCAGTCTCCTCAGACTCAGCACCCCCAGAACCAGTACCGCCAGTGCTAGGACCTCCAACTCCAGCACCCCCAGAACTAGCACCGCTAGTGCCAGCACCCCCAACTCCAGCACCCCCAGAACCAGCACCTCCAGTGCCGGCACCTCCAGCTCCAGCACCCCCAGAGCTAGCGCCACCTGCGCCAGCACCTCCAGCTCCAGCACCCCCAGAGCTAGCGTCACCTGCGTCAGCACCTCAAGCTCCAGCACCCCGCGACCGAGCACCCCCAGACCGAGCACCGCCAGCGGCTGCACCTCCAGCTCCAACACCAACCGAGTCCACAGTAACCTGTCGCGGAAGTGCCGAAGGCTGCTGAGGGGACTGTGAGGAGGACTGCGGGGAGGGAGACGCTACCTGACGCGCGACCGAGGGGAGAGGGGTAGCGTGGGACACACCAGACGGGGCAGGACCAGGGGGGGGCGGGGGTACCGGAGGAGCGGGAGCAGGAGGAGGAGAGGGTGCGAGGAAGAGAGGGGGAGGGGGTACCGGGAGACCTCGACAGGGGTATTGGGTGTAGTAGGACACGGACTCGTCAAACCGGACGTCACGGAAATCTAGGAACTGGTGGAGGGGAGGGTGGTAAAAGGACCAGTCAGCAGAGTCCACTGGGAAACCAAGGAAGACACAGGGGACGGCGCGTGCCGAGAGCTTGTCCGCGGAGGTGTCGCGAACAAGTGCAAGGCAGCCCCAGACTCGAAAGGCCGACCCAACACCAGGGGATCCAGTCCAGAGACTGGTCGGTGAAGCCTCGGGCCGCGAGACACGCGGCTGGAGGTTCAGCTGGTGTGCGGCGTAGCGAACCGCGTGAGGCCACAGAAAATGGGGCGCACGGGCATGAATCATGGACGTGCGGGCGATGTCCATGACCAAGCCTATGCGGCGCTCAGCAACCCCATTCTGCTGTGGGGACTCTGGCAGCGTCCAGGACTGGGTGATGCCCTGTTCGCCGCAGAATCCGCCGAGAATGCCGGAGCGAAACTCGCCCCCACGGTCGGAGTGAAGACAACTGACTCGACGACCACGAGTGCCCTCAGTGGCTAGAAGCCACCTGATCAGCGTAGCAGTCACCTCGGACTTCTTCGCAAGAGGAAACACTGTGGTGTACCTGGAGAAGTCGTCGACGACCACCAGAAAGTAGCGCTCCCTCCCAGACCCCTGCGTCGGGGCAGGGCCCCAGACGTCCAAGTGGAGAGTCTCGAAGGGAGCGGTGGCCGGACGAAGGGAGGAGGAGTGGGGAGTGGCACGTAAGCGACCGGCGACGCACGGAGAGCAAGGAGGGGCAAGCGAGGGAGGGAGCGACGGGAAGGTGCGTGGGAGACCTGTGACTAGTCCCTGACTGAGCATGCCACGAAGGCGAGGGATCGACGGGTGGCCAAGACGGTGGTGCCACAGGACGGTGCGGTGGGCGAGAGAGCGACAGGAGCAAGACGCAGCGACTGGACTGGACACAGCGACTGGACTGGACACAGCCACCTGACCGGACTCTGCTACCGGGGGGGACGAAGCAACCTGACCAGACGCAGCTACCTGCGGGGGCGGAGTGTGCAGGACGAAGAGACCTGAGTGGGGCTCTCTGGTGAACGTGGCAAGAACTGCCCCGGTGGAAGAGTCCGTACAGATCGCAGTCCTCCCGTGCGCAGGAAAAGTGACTGTGATCCCCCGGTCCTGAAGGTATCCAACACCCACCAAGTTCCGAGAGAACGAGGGGATGTAGAGACCAGTGAGGAAACCAGAGGGGACAGCCGGGCACGGGAGGGTGGTCGAGCTACGAGCAACTGCTGGTCCTGAAGTAGGATCAGCCAGGGCAACTGGGACTGGAGCCGAAAGAGGTGTGACAGTGGTGTGGTCGCGGAAGAAACACTGAGACGCGCCGGAGTCCAGCGTGAAGGAGAGCGACGCAACAGCAGTCGTCACGGCTGGGCTAGTGACTACACAAGCACCTACACTAAAAGCACAAGTACCGACACTAGCAACAGGCAAAGGTCCTAAGCTAGGTACACGTAAGCCAAGAGATCCGTACGTGACAGAATAAACAGCATCCATAGACATATCAAACACAGGGAAACCACTACGAAACAGACCGGGCCAGATCGGGGGAGCCGACTCAGGCCCAAAACGCTCACGGTAAAGGTCGTCGAGGCGGCTGTAGCAGCGCTGTGCAGAGTGGTCAGGACGCCAGCAGGTAGTGCCAGCACCAGGGCCGGTCAGGATCCGGTACTGGCAGGGGCCGACGTCGCGGCCACCGCGACGAGCCCCCCAGCTGGCTGGGCCGCTGCTGCAGCCAACGCGACCTGAACCACCAGGCCCCCATGGCTGCTGAGGGCGCCACAGCTGCTGAGGGCGCCCCTGCCGCTGCGGAAGCCACTGCTGAAAAGGCCGCTGCTGCTGTCCCTGCTGCTGGAGAACCCTAGCGGACTCCATGATAAAAGCTAGCGGGGTGCAGGAGCGGCAGGCTAGGAGCGACAGGAGCGACAGGCTGCTGTGAAAAACGAGAACAACTAGGAGCGCAAGGTGAAACCAGGCGAGTAACTGCTGGAGCACGGAGCGAACTAAGCTAGGAGCGCCAGGTGAAACCAGGCGAGTAACTGCTGGAGCACGGAGCGAACTAAGCTAGGAGCGCCAGGTGAAACTAGGCGAGGAACGGCTGGAGCACGGAGCAAACTGAGCTAGAAGCGCCAGGTGAAACTAGGCGAGGAACGGCCGGAGCACGGAGCAAACTGAGCTACGAGCGAGGAGCGAGAACGGCTGGAGCGAGAACGGCTGGAGCTAGAAGCGGCGAGCTAGGGCTGGCTGGAGGTAGGAACGGCCGGGGCTAGAGACCGTAAGTGCGGCTGTCGGCTGCCGCTAGTAGAGCTTCTGGCAGTGGAAAGTACGTGCGACAGTAGGGGCTGCAGTACTGACGGCTGCGGGATGTAGGCAACTGTGCAGGTCGTCCGGCAAGCAAGAACGCGGGCGACAGTCGCAGGCCCCCACTGTGAACCCCTTTTTTTTTTTTTTTTTTTTAGGGTTTAATTAATTTATTTATTTTCTGGCACTAAAGCACCCCGGGGCGCGCTGCCTGCAGGGTGTGCTGCCTGCGGGGCGCGCTACCCGCGGGGCGCGCTACCCGCGGGGCGCGCCTCCTGCGGGGCGCGCTACCCGCGGGGCGCGCTACCCGCGTGGCGCGCTGCCTGCGGGGCTGGGGTGACGAGCCAGGGAGGGCGCCTGGGCGACGGGCTAGGACGGGCGCCTGGGCGACGGGCTGGGGCGGGCGCCTGGGCGACGGGCTGGGGTGGGCGCCTGGGCGACGGGCTAGGGCGGGCGCCTGGGCGACGGGCTAGGGCGGGCGCCTGGGCGACGGGCTGGGGCGGGCGCCTGGGCGACGGGCTGGGGCGGGCGCCTGGGCGACGGGCTAGGGCGGGCGCCTGGGCGACGGGCTAGGGCGGGCGCCTGGGCGACGGGCTAGGGCGTGGGCCTGGGCGACGGGCTAGGGGCGCAGGCTAGGGGCGCGGAGGGCGCTAACGCGCGGAGGAGGAGGGCGCTAAGGCGCGGAGATGGCGCGGAGGGCGCGGTGGCTAAGGAGCGGAGGGCGCGGAGGGCGCGGAGGGCGCGGAGGGCGCGGAGGGCGCGGAGGGCGCGGAGGGTGCTAGGGCGCAAGGGCGCGGAGGGCGCGGAGTGTGCTAGGGCGCAAGGGCGCGGAGGGCGCTAGGGCGCGAGCTAGGCTAGGCTAGGCGAGAGGATCGACACCTACTCATGATACCATCTCAAAGTTAGCGAACAACGGAATGATTGGAATAGAAACGAATGAGGTACAAATGAGCAACCCTAGAAGCTGTACCCCCTAGAGTGCAACTCACTATAGCCTATCATATCAATGTTCAACATTTGACAACCTGGGTGACTCCTTAGGCTGCTGGTCATTGTCCTTAGTGCACGGCCTAGTGCATGGAAGGAAGATCCTTCACCCAGGGGTCTAGAGCGTGTCCAATAGCAAACACAATGAAGCCGATCTCCCTGAGCTTTGCCACATCCACAATGTTGCGGCCGTCAAACACGAAGGCTGGCTTCTCCATGTGCTCATAGATTTTCTGTGGGCCATGCAAGGGGTTGGAATGCAGGGGAGATTCATTTCACATTGAAGAATAAAGCAGGCTAAGAAGGAATAGTACTAAGGTAAGGGACATGAACACACACAGTGGAAGGGAACTCAGACATCAGATTGGATGTGTTATGAGTCAGCATGGACAGTAGTGCAGCAGCTTGCTCATGTGCCAGTTGAATCGGTTGCAACCCACCTGATAGTCCAGTGTCTTGAACTCGTCCCACTCCGTGAGGATGCAGATTCCATGAGCACCCTTGCACGCTCCATATGCATCCCATGACACAGAAACCTGGATGAAGGGAGCAGTGGATATAGGTGGAAAAGTGAAACAAATTACTCTCTTTCACAAACATGGTTAGAGGAACAATGTGAGGGCGCAAGAAGAGTGCACGACGAAACCAGGGTTCATGTGCTCCTTGAAACCACCATACACTGCTTGTTTCACAGTCGGTGCAGAGAGGGGGCTTCTAAACGCACAGACAATATAACAGTTTAGAGTTTGTGCAATGGTTTAACCTTCTGGTGGACTCTTGGGCTGACTGGCTGCAGGTGGTAGGGATGGTCCCAGTCAAACTTGTTCATGGACAGGTCACGCCTGATCTGTTCCTCAGTCACCTGGAAACACAAGCAGGAGCCTTGTTAAGCCTCTCTAGCTTCATAGGCATAAGCTGAGTATATGTGATTGTGCGGAAGAGATTGGACTTACTTGTGGGTCGTAGATGCTGACGTCAGCCTGATCCCTGAGAAGCCCATGGCAAACATCAATGGCAGGGCTCTCCCTGGTGTCTCCTGTGTCCTTCTTGAAGGCAAACCCGAGAATGGCAATTTTCTTGTTGACGACAGTGTTGAACATGGAGGACACGATCCTGCTGATGAACCTTGACTTCTGGTACTCGTTGATGTCAATCACCGATTTCCAATAATGAGCAGCCTCCATCAATCCATTGCACTCACAGATGTAGACAAGGTTCAGAATGTCCTGTGGGGTTGTGACCAGGGCAGGTGAGTATGGTGCTGGATTTGGAGGCGAAGCAGCCTTTGACGTGTGTGTGCTTGTGTGTCGGCATGCAATGTGCATGAGCGGGTGCAAGCAAAGCTCACGACTTGTGTTTTCGAGAGAGAATGAATGCAGTTGAAGGAGGAAAGCGGAGGGGAAAAGGCGGATGGGAGGTAGGTGTGGGGGTGTTGGAAAGAGAGGGATGCTGGGGGGAAGAGGAGAGAGAGTGAAGGAGTCAAAGAGTTCGACAAGGTAGGTGTGGGGGTGTTGGAAAGAGAGGAATGCTGGAGGAAGAGGAAAGTACCTTCTGGAAGCAGGAGCCACCAAAACCAACAGAGGCTTGCAAGAATCTGGAGCCAATGCGGGTATCTTTTCCAATGGCGTATGCTACTTCTGAGACGTTGGCCCCAGTGGATTCGCAAAGGGCGGAGATAGCGTTGATTGAAGAAATGCGCTGAGCAAGAAACGCATTCGCTGCCAGCTTGGTCAGCTCAGCGGACCTGAGGAGGCATGTGTGAGCGTATATGTAAGAAAAAGCACCCTGGCAATTCTGTTACTGAGTGGCTGGTTCTAATAGCGTTATTCCATCAAGTCTCTCACCAGAGGTTGGTCACAATGATGTTTTCTTGAGGCACCCAGTGAGCATAGACTGCAGCAAGAGCAGCTGCTGCAGCCTGGCCTTCCTCACAAGTGCGACCACCTGAATGAATGAAACAGTACACAGCGAAATACAATGTTGCCTTTTTTCACGAAGACAGGAACTTCAGAAGTTGACGAACGAGAAAAATCGCTGGATCTTACCGATAAGAACACGATCGGGCTTGTCGAGGTCTGCCATTGCAGTGCCTTCCGCTAGAAATTCGGGATTCGATAGAATCTAACGACAGTAAAGATCAAATTAATGGCTGGCCGGAACAGACGCAAGAACGGGGCCTTAAGATTGAAAATGACTTGTTACCTGGAACTTGATGCCTTTCGTGTTATGTGTAAGAATCTTCTCAATAGCTTCCGCAGTCTTTACGGGAACAGTGGATTTCTCAACCACAATCTTGTCAGAGGTAGAAACGTCAGCGATCATCCGCGCAGCGCTTTCCCAGTAGGTCAGGTCGGCTGCTCGACCAGCTCCTAACCCCCTGGTCTGCAAATGCCAAGAAGGAACGAGTGGCTGTCATGAACCCCGACTTCATTCATTCCTCAGGAGTTTTTACGATTCTGAACTCTTTTATGTACCTTGGTTGGTGTGTTCACAGATACGAAGATAATGTCGGCCTCAGCGACGCTCTTTTCCACGTCAGTCGTGAAGAACAGGTTCTTATCGCGGCAAGACTTCACGACATCGTCGAGTCCAGGCTCGAAAATAGGCAGATTATCACTGTGAAAACAGAAAGACAGGATGTTGCTTCGCACGTATTGGCTTCAGCGACGGAACGCTGGAAGAATGACAACCCGACATACCTGTTCCACGCAGCGATTCTAGGCTTGCTTATGTCCACCACGGTGACCTTAATCTCTGAACATTTGTATGCAATCATGGCCATGGTGGGGCCACCCACGTAGCCAGCGCCTATGCAGCAGATCTTCACCATGGTTCTATGCTGAGTTGGAACTACAACTTAAGAACCTGTCTACCACCTAATGCAACGTCTGTGAAGAGAAGCGGATAGACAGCCCCAACAGAGCACAACAGGTAATATAGCAATAATACAGCAAAAAAACTACTAGCCAGTCCAGAAATTTGAATCTGAAGGAATGGAGTTGTCTAGGAGGGGTGACCAGACCAGGCGATGATATCGACGGGTGCGACGGTCGCTGGACGATGCTTTGGTGTGGGTGACAGATCGCAGTGGGCGCGAATGCGAGTCTGGCTTGGTGATGCCTGACGCGCCAGATTGGGGGAAAGCAGCAACCCGAGCCGCACAGCCAGCCTTGGGAAGAGCGAAATTCCAGCTGCCACCAACTCCGTCACAAGTCACACAAGCCTGTGCGAGTCTCGCATCAGCGCCACGTGCCCTTGGAAATCAGCGCCAGCTCCAGCTGCAAACTGGAATGCTCTAGTACACTTCGTCCAAGGATTTATAAAGCACTAAAGCACATTGCTGGCAGGAAATCCACCTGAAATCTCAAGCAATGCACATACGGTAGGTACATGATTCTTCAGGTTGCATCAGAACTTTTGCAAAATTACTACACCATGCCTGAGCGTCTACCAGAATTTTGGTTAACCTCCTACAATGTCAGGTCAGCCTTTCCTTCAGAGCACGAGGTGTGCTCATGACTAACTATATAACAAGCAGAAGAGCATGCTACGTTACATACTATACACTAACGGATGAGACCTATTGAAAGCTTTCACATCTCCGCACAGAAGGTGTCACTTCTGTAATTTGACCTGTTGATGCTCCGCAATCTGGTAAGCTACCATGGCCCTCACGCGCTGGCGGAATCCAGGGTACGGTTCAAACCCAAACCGCTCCAGCACCTGCCACACACACATGAAAGGGTAGGAATTTAAATATCAAAGCCACAGAAAGGCGACCCAGACACTGACGGTCAATGCAGGAGATGCTGACCTCAAGGAGTACGAAGAGTGGTGCCATGAGCAATGCCTGAGCCAAATTGTCCACTAGTGCAGGCGCTCTCTTCTGATAATGTAGAAGGAAAGGATAGGTGGGAGACAAGGGGATTAAATCGTAGCTTCTTGAAAGAGGCTGGACACATGTTGCTTCATGTGATACCGATCATAGGTTGTTGCAAGCACGCCCAAGACTAGACGATGGTGCGGAGGGGAGCATGCACAAACAGACCCAGCGAACATGCAATGCAATGATGAGAACATGTGCACGGGCATGCAGAGGAGGCTGACCTCGAAGACGCCGTGGCCCAAAAACTGCCCGCCCCACGACACCACCTGGGCGATGACAGCCAGCTGATGGCCAAGGGGCGAGGCAGAGAGGACAGAGGATAGAAGCAGGGAGAGGGGCAGGGATGGAGAGAAACAGGGAGAGAAGAAGGGAGAGAGGCAGGGAGGGAGTGAAGCAGGGAGAAGGGCAGGGGAGAGAGGCAGGGAGGAAGTGAAGCAGGGAGAGGGGCAGGGGAGAGAGGCAGGGAGGGAGTGAAGCAGGGAAGGGGGGAGAGTAGAGAATCAGGGAGAGGGGCAGAGGAGAGGGGAAGGGAGAGGGACAGGGGAGAGAGGCAGAAGAGAGGCAGGGAGGGAGGCAGGGGAGATTGGTAGGGAGAGAGGACAGGGGAGAGAGGCAGGGTGATAGAACGGGGAGAGAGAGGAAAGGGGAGGTGGTGGAATGGGTGAGCGGGGAAGAGGCTGACTCCAATTCATGGAACCGTATGCAAGAGGGCAGGAGAGTGAGGCGAAGGCAGCGAGGGATAGTGAATGAAATGCTGTGCTATGGTAGACCGTTCCCATGTGTGCATGGGAAGGATAAGTATGGGAATGCAACTGTGAGGCTTGATTTAGACATGGTAAGGAGACGTTAGGAGTCTTGCTCCTTATCCAGTTGAGTGACTCCTCTTCCTCCCACACAACTCCCGCAAACCAACCCCCCCTGGCAGCCCCGCGCGCACCTTCCACGCGCGCCCGGCGCCCACGGCTTTGATGAAGGCGCGCGAGCCCACGAAGCACCCGCCCACCATCAGCGCCGCGAGCGACCCCGCGCGCCGCTCCATCCCAATGTAGAACGCCGCGTACACCACCGACACCAGCGCCGCACCGTTAAACACCAGCCCGCTGCCGGGAAGCGCGAGGGGAAGCGGTACGGGTATCTGCGGCACGAACTTAGCTAAGGCGGCGAGGACTGGGTGGCTGAGGGAGATTAAAGACGGCGTGTATTGGAGGAGGACGAGCGCGGAGAAGAGGATGGGCCACACGAAGACCATGTGGATGGCCCTGTTGACTGGGTCGTCGTGGTACGAGCCGTAAAACGCGTAGTGCTTCTCGAGATTGAACAGCGAGCGGAATGAGGCGATAGCGGATGGGCTTGTCACGGGGATGGGGGCGGTATTTTTGGGGTCCGGGGAGATGGGCACGTGAACGTCGTCCGCGGATGGGTCTCTATCGCCGCCGCTGAGGTTGGCGGAAGCGGAAGCGGGCGTGACGGGGCGGAACGATTGGGCTGCGCGAAGAAGGCGGAAAGGCAAGCGGGGAGGGAAAGTTCGAGAAGGGTAAATTTGCATTGCGCAGTTTCAAGCCTAAATTTCCTCTATGCGCCAGCGTCGCATGGAAACATTGGTTGGAAATGAACGAGAATTGAACTAGAATAAGCATGCGAGGACGGATTTTAGGACACTGAGAGCCAGTGAGTAGGACGCCACGTGGCGCGACGGCGAATTGGCAGTCTCGCGTTACACAGCGAGGGCAGGGAGCGCGCGGACCTTGCAAGCGGGTGTAGGGAGACGGAAAGATCTTGGCGAGAACGAAGCTTCGCACGGCCGCGTAGTTCCTGGCAGGCGAGCCAGCCTGGCAAGCCCAGGAGTGCGAGGCAGCCGCGCCTTTCTTTAACGCGTCTCCGCTTAGCGTGTCTGCTCTCAGTGCGCCGGCAGCTCTGCACGTACAGATGAACGACGGCGCCGCGGTTGACGCCATTCTTGCACGCAGACGCGGGGCTCGCAACAAGAAGTCGTGGTGGGAAGAACGACGTCAATGAGTGCGCAGCCCGAAGAGACAGAAAGACGCGCCCACGGAGAGCAAGCAGCAAGGTGCGAGGAGCAAGGAGGCAGCAGCGCTGACTTCGACAGAGGTTCAGCAATGATTCCGTCTCGCCACCTTGCAGAAGCCCAAAATTGTTTGTTGGTGCAAGGGGCATAACTGCTTCTCCCATGAGTGGTGGATGATGAGTCAATTGTCAATGGAGCATCGAGTTGGTGTGCATGCAGCGGGCTGTGACTGTGTGAGTGTAGGAGGTGGAGGAGAGGAGCTGCACTCCACTCTACTCCCTCCCACCCACCTGATTCTCCTCTCCATTGTGCGCTGGTTGGCGTGGTCTCGCGACGCGATGCTGGCCTATGCCCCTTTATCCGCCTCCGGGGAGGAAATGACGGATCGCCCTGTTTTCAGGTTTCCGATTCCTTTGGGCAGTGGCTTTGACACCTCCTCGCTTCTCCGCTCGCGTCCGATTCCTTGGGGCAGCTGATTTCGACATTTCCAATTTCCTGTGACCAGGAAAATTCTGAAGTTTACCTGGTTTTAGTTTAGTGGCCAGTGGAAAAAAGAAACCCCTCTCGGATGGCTGGCCATTTGGGAGGCATCAACCCTAAACACCTTGCCTCATGGTTTTCAGGGTTGATGCCTCCCAAATGGCATGCCCTCCATGAGGGGTAATATATTTTTTGTCCTGAGCTTCTCGTAATTGACGCGACAATTCAATTTATGATATCCCGATAAATAAACACAATATTAGTCTCTGGACTTGAAAAGGGGCAATAGCGTAAATAACTGACCGAAGGTATCGGACTCGAGCGCAAAGTAAGGCGGTGTCAAATCCACTGCCAAAAAAAATCGGAAATCCAAAACCAGGGCGGTCCGTCATTCCCTCGCCTCCGGGGCAATCGCCCGCCGCGTCTCCGTCCGTACACAAAGCGTTCCGCGTCCATGATGGCCCTGGGCGCAGGATGCTTAGACGAGGGGATGGGTTGGGCTGGGGGGAGCCAGTGAGGCGCGCAGCTGGCATGCGGAGCACAAAGGAGGGGCAAACTTCAATGCTTGCTTGCGAGTGCGTGCGAACGAAACTTTGTCGCATTCGACTGAAAGCGCTTCGTTATGATTGGGCGATGTCTTTCAGACGACTCGTTCATGACCGTTCTGGGGCAGGTAGCGACTGAATTTCGGCGGAGCAACAGGAGGACGACATCCTTTTGCGTCAGCATTATCCTTTGGCAATAGCACCCTCCTCAGTCATTTGTGATTGTGTCCAGTCCACATAGTCCCTTTCTATTGTTTTTAAATGTACAAATACGGTGCATTCGTCATGTACAAATAATATATTTCAGTATTGTTGTTCTACCTTGTACAGTCACAGCTCCCGTTCAAACGCACAAAACCCCCTGAACCTCTCTCCTGACACGTGTCCATCCATAGACCACCACCCTGTAACCCCGAGCAGTTACTTTGCGCCAATCCCTCGCCACACACACCTCCACCTGTCTGCGCCGTTGCTGTTACACTACACTACCCCTATCCTGCCCTGTGATTCTTCCAGCCTCCATGATTTCTCATGCGGCGGCAGCAGGAGTTTGCCCCGTCCAGTTGTGGGCCGTGAGTTGGGAGTTTGTAACCCTCTTCTCGCCTTTTCCCTGGCTCGTGTGGGCATAACACTTTCTCCAGTTATCCGCGTTTGTGTTACAAGTCCTTGCTGCTTACCTTCTCCCGCATGTCTTCGCAGCGCCTTTCTATTCGAATTTCCACTCGATTTTCCGAAATCAGCAGCTAGTCTGAGTTTTGACGTGATTTCTGCTTCCCGCTTGCAGCTGTTTTCGTACTGAGACCTTCACGCACTCAGTCTTCGTGTTTCCACTTCGAGTTGTCCGATTCCTTTAGCCTAGCAGCTTGAGCACAGCGTTTCGTCTCTTTCCTTCGTTCACTATGGAAGTACAGCACGCATTGTCAACGCATGACCCGCTTACCGTCACAGGAGCACCAGCAGTAACAGCAGCTCCGCCCATCGGAGCGGCATCCCTTGCGGCGCATGCAGCAATGGAAGATGTCACGTCTGCACCTGATGTTCCTGCATTAACAGTGGCATCGTTCGCTGAAACCGGAGCGCGAACGGGCGAGGGTGGCGCGGAGCTAGCGATTTTCACAACAGGAGACGCGGAAGCTGATAGAGCGGGAAACGACGCGACCAGCGAGCATCCTTCCATGTCGCATCCGTCTTTGGAGCACCCGTATGCGGAATTCGCCGCTAATGGCTCCTTCCCTCCCCACGCGTCGACCGCGCCGACGCGGCTCGTGAACATGCCGTCGTACGTCAACTTCATCCGATCGGATCTCGCGCCGCGGCCGGACACGCAGCGCGCGCCCGTGATTCGCGTGCATCCGACGGTTTTCGAGGCGCTGCACGCGCTGCGCGAGGGGCTGCAGCTGTGCCGGCCCGCGAACCGCGTGAGCATCAGCGACGTGATCGACCACTTTCTGTGCTGCTCCGCGGAGGAGGTCGACCGCCTGCTGGAGCGCCGCGTTAAACACCGCCGTCAGATGCTCGCGCTGGTGCAGCAGCAGCAGCAGCAGGGGCAGGGACAGGCGCAGGGGCAGGGGCAGGGACAGGAGCAAGGGCAGGGTCTAGGACAGGGGCAGGAGCAGGGACAGGGGCAGGATGGGCAGCTGGCAGTAGCCCAGCAAATGGATGGCGGACACGTGGCAGTGCAGCAGGAGCAGGTGGGGCAGGGTGGGGAAGGTGAGGCATACCCGGCTGGGAGTGTTGCTGCCGGTTACCCGTACTCGTACTCGGCGCTCATTCCCCCCATGGTGCAACCCGAGCAGCAGAGGCGCAAGCGGCGGCGGCGGCACGTGCAGCCCCCTGCGACTCAGAGGAAGCTGCTGCAGCTGCTGCAGCAGCAGGAGCAGTTCCACCCTGGGCCTGCCACCCTGCAGCAGCAGCCCTTGCCGTTCCTACACCAGGTGCAGGAGCAGCAGCAGGTGCAGGAGCAGCAGCAGCAGCAGCAGCAACCCCAGCAACAACTGCAGCAGCAGGTGCAGGAGCAGCAGCAGCATCAAGAGCCACAGCAACAGCAGATGCAAGGGGAGCAGCAGCAGGGTGCGGGTCACAGGGCATTGCAGTGGGGCTCTGGACCCATACCCAACTACGCGTCTCAGTAGCAGCAACCCCATGCCATGAGCACCTACCAGTCGCTGATGCAGCCTCTAGTGTCCCATAGAGCACCATCGAGTGTGCCTCTCTTTGCAGCTGCTGTTAGCCGCCCCTGACACGGTGATTATTTGTCAAGAATGAAAGTGTTGGTTCGACTAAGGTTGGTTGGGGTACATAAACCTAACCCTAACAATTGTACCCCATATAACACACATCACTAAGACTACAACATTTGACACAACCTCATAGTCTAAGTGAGGGGTGTCAACCAAAACCAAAAGTGTACGGTCACAAGTCCAGTCACAAAGAAACAAAGCTCAAGGTGGATCACAACGTCACCACACACTCCGAGTACAAGCAAAAGAGCCACAAGGCTAGTTCAAGAGTTCACACAGGTATGTGTAAAATGTACAAACAAAGCAAGGAGAGAACTCAAGACTATGCAAGGCGACAACCTGTGTCAACGAGACCTAACTGTGCACAACACCTCTGGTGGTCACGAGGCGGCAGGGCCTTGGTGAAGATGTCTGCAGTGTTGGCCTCGGACTCAACAAAGTCGAAGCGAGTCTATCCAGCCTCTGCAACTCTCGCAGAAGAAACTACCAGACATTAATGTGCTTCACTCTGCTCTCCAGTCGCGGCCCTCGACAGAGGAGAATCATCGCCTTGTTATCAGTGAACAAGGTCAACGCAGAGCTCGACTGCTCACCAAGGTCAGTGAGCAAGAACGTCAGCCAGCGCAGCTCCCGTGCAGCCATAGCTCCAGCGTAGATCTCGGCCTCAGCAGTAGAGATCGAGACCGAGGAGGAACGTGTGGACCTCCACGAAACAGCTCCAGAGCCCAGGCTGAATCAGTACCCCTGAGTAGACCTGTGCGTCTCGGCGTCGTCAGCGTAAGAAGAGTCACAGTGACCAGTAAGCATGACGTCCTGTCTCCCTCCAAGAACCAGCCCCACGCCTGATGTCGTCGCTAGGTACTTCGCCACCCTCACAGCAGCTGTCCAGTGAACTGGACGGTGTCTCCCGGGCGCAACAAAGCGAGCAAGGATGCTGAGAGGGAAGGCAAAGTCCGGACGAGTACAAGTCATCAGGTACATGAGGCAGCCCACAAGCTCTGCGTAAGGACCATTAGGCTCGAACGGCTCGTCAGAAAAGGGTCCGATGAGTCTGTGGTCAACGGCAAGAGGTGTGTGCTGTACAGTAGAGTGCTGAAGCTCGAACCGCTGAAGGACCTGGTGCACCATGTGTGACTATGAGAGTGTAATGGTGCGAGCAGCTCTGTCCCTGGTGATCTGCAGGCCAAGGTAGCAGCGCAACTCACCAAGGTCAGTGCAAGTGTGTCTCTTCTGCAGTTTGAGCTTCACGTCAGCCAAAGCAACCCTGTCAGCAGTGGCGAAAACCAGGTCGTCGTCGTAGACCAGTACAAAGAACGGTGTGGAGCCACGACGCACGAACAGCGACGGGTCGGCAGAAGAAGGCTGGAAACCAAGGTCAGAAAGGTTAGATCGAAGGGTGTCATGCTACTTTCGAGGAGCCTGACGGAGACCGTAGACCGGTCGCCTAAGCCTCCACTGGGTCCCAGGAGGGAAAGTGCCAGTGAAGCCAGAGGAACGACGCAACCAGACCTCCTCGTGTAGGCTACCCTGAAGGAAAGCAGTGGAGAAGTCAAGAGAGTGTAACTCGTAGTCTCTCTGTGCTGCTATGTGCAGTAACACCCGAAGAGTGGTCATCTTTGGGGTAGGCGGGAAAATCTGAACGAAGTCAACTCCCTCGCGCTGAC